TTGAGAGAGAGAGAGAGCAATAAGATGGAGCGAGACAGTGGCGGGAACAATTCACGTACGATAGGGAACAAACATTCCTCTCTCTAAAGGGGGTCAGTTTGTTTTATCGATCGGGGTAATCACAACATTATATCACATACTCAAAGTAGACGTAGTGAATTAGTGTCAAACAATCGTTTAATATAATGAACCATACAAAAATCTACGGACTACCAACTCTAGAATAACCTATGTACGAACAAACTTATATATATATATATATATATCTTGTTTCAAACAATTTAGAGTATCACATCTGGATTAGCCCATTCCAGTGGTCAGAGGCACCAGGCATTCTTGATGGTTTTGGGTGCGTGTTTCACTCCTTGGGAGATCGGTAATTCCCCACTAGTTTGATGTATAAGTGATGCAAAGATTTGTGATGACCATCGACCGTGTAGCACAGTGGTAAGAGTTTGAAGTTCCAACCCGAATGTTCGTGGTTTGAGTCCTAACAGGGACACAAAAAGTACGCACTGCTGACGAGTTCTGAACAGGAAGAAACAGCTGTCCAATGCACTTGTGTTAATGACTTAGCCTGGTGGATCACAGTGTTTTTATCTTCTACTTGATCATGCCTCTGATTTAAAGCGTGGACTGAATAGCTAGGAATCAGTGTACAGTAATTTGGACCTAGTTTGATCTCACAAGTTTTGCGAGTCCTTCGAATCAACTGAACATTGAACCAGGGCACTCACAGATAATTAGCAAACATACCAACCATTTGACCAGTGGACTGTTGAGAGCAATATCAAGATGGGTATACAGAGAGCAGATACACTGAAGCCACCTATGTGGCGGATAGATGAACCATTTGCACACTCACAGCCATTTCACCCAATGTTTCTAATTGACAGCCGAACAGGTTGGTCACGAAGTCCCAACCGAAAACTCCTCCGATCGGGGGNCTTTCAAACTTCATTCTTTTTCATATTTTGACGAAGCACGGTTCTCACTCCTTAGTCACTAGTCCCCCTATGACTACCTGCTGACATGTGGCATTCATCCTCTACCTGGTCATGCATCTTAATCGAAGCGGGGTCTGAAGAATCGCCGTACTGTTTTGACTTGATTGAATCACATCACGATCACCTAGTTTTCTGTTGGGTCATGAGCCCATCGGGATACTTAGAAGCGAGACTGGAGGGGGGGGGGGCACGAGAGCTAAAGCACTTGAAGAAAATAATTTTGCATTCACCGAGTGAGGAGCACTTTCGGCACAGTGAATAGCGTACCAGTCTCCGGTGACTGTGCTTTACTGTACGAGCGGTACAGTAGCAACATGACCAGTTTTGACCATGAACACAACTGCTGTCTACCTAGCCACACTACACTCGTGTCGGAATTTGTGAGGCGGCACCCCACCAACCGGTGTCTACTGAGCCGATTGTTTGGTCTCTGGGTCGAAACTGTACACCAGGTCCACCACCAAAACTGGCAAGCATGGTGTGGCACTAATTCACACGAACTATTTTTTGATCCTCACTGAGCTGATGGGGGCCGAGTTTTTCAGGTAGGATGGTGCGGATTGATTCCGATAGTTTTTGCCAATTGTGCCATTGTTTGTACAGCACCAATGTAGTCCGCTGTGGTGCCCTCCACAGAGGTCGACCACACCGTGTCTCATCATCAAGGGACCGCTTGTCACGATTGAATTCCTCAAACCACTCAAACACAGCGCTCCGTGAAGGTGCATACTTAGCAAAGGTAGCTCGTAAACGATCAACACTCTGTTGCTGCTGTTTGTAGTCGTAGAAAATCATCGCCCTAGCCTTACAGTTCGAGTAAAAAGCTACTGGTGAGCTGTGCTCGACTGTGTTCGGTCCGTGAGTTGCAATCACTGAACAATATTCACAAAATAGATTATAGTTCACTTCTTCCCTGCACGGTCATCTGCACCTCGTACTGCGTATGCGGAAAATGTTTGCTCAGATCTTCTCATATGTAACCGTTATCAGCTCAACAGAGAAGTAATCAGTCACCAGTTTATGCCCAATCATGGGTCTTAGCTACAGAAGAATTAGTCGGACGGATTAGTCAGGGTGGAAAATGGGTTTGGATGTTTTTCACTGCGCGTCTAAAAATGATGATCAATAGAAGTTGTTGTGAACGCCGTAGACACGAGGACTGACCATTCAACACAGGAACTTGGGACCTTGCGCTTTGGGAGAGTGGGAATGAGGAACTACATAACAGACATCATTAGAAAAAAAACTGTGAATTTGATCCGGAAGACAGCAAAGCTATCCATTATCAAAGTCCGATGGGGGTAGCTGGATCAGACATCTAAAAGATCGAGTGCACTAACTAAATCCTACAATTGTTTTAATCTCTTTACAACAGTAGCTCGCTCATTCAGGCGCGTTTTACGATAGTAGCAAACCGGTCTAACTGCAGACTTGACGTGGGGCAAGAAAAACATTGACGTTGACCAAATTTTCCAAAGGTAACGCTATCTGTATCAATTTTTCCCGCCGTTTCCCATATCTTGGAAGTCATATTTTAAACCAAAAAACCCGAATGGAACATATATTCACCATCTTTAATTCTGTTTACGAAAGTGAGGAATAGACATGATTAGGCTGATACAACTTCGCCCAGGGGAAAGCAATAAACTTGGCAAGTGGTAGCGTTGGTTGGTTGGTTGGTTTGAGCAAGACGTATGGTGAGAAAGAATGGGGGTAAAAAGCGGTTGTGTGAAACCCAATCAGTTACCATTCGAAAAAACAACCACGTCGTGAATGTAAGCAATCAGATCGGATGTAGTTGTTGTTGTTGTTGTTGGTGGTGGTGGTGCTGGATTCAAGAGTAAACACCGTTTGCACTCACAAACCGCGGCCCTCATCCCCACCTATATCGTCCTCCACGAACCCTTGCTCACCCTCACCCCGCACTCCGAGACTGAAATCCAATAAATCAGAACCACCGAAGGATCAGAGCAGATAACACAGTTACCAGTGTGGATCAATACGGTTATCGAAGATGAATGAGCGCGCGTATGTCAGGCCAAATTGTACTGGAGCGGATAAGATCGACAATTAAATCATATTCGTCATTCGCATCTGGCAAAGCCACACACACACACACACACACACCGAGTCACCACCAAATATCGTTCAGTCTGTGCTCGGATGAACTATTCGATGAGGGGGCAAATCACGATATTCATGGGCGATGATTCGTCATTTATTAGGTAGATAGACAGTATGATCAATGTTAGTGATATAGTCCCTTTTGGAGGAAGAAGAGAGCGCGAAATCCTAGTCTTTTGCAATTTGGTTTCGATTAACGAAAAGGTATTACCATTCTTACAGGGTTTGAAGATAGAAGGCAACAGATTAGCAAATTGAGCAGGCTCGCGTGCATCTAAAAAATTAAATTTCATATTCGTCACGCTACAACATAATAGGAAATTAAAATCACGTATAGGAGCATTTTTGTCAAAAAATGTACACCGAATATGATCGATTCAATTCAGTTTTCACAACCATTAAACATGCACTTTCAGATGACAGTTTTGGTTGCTCGCTTTACGCTGCCAATTTGGATAAATGGGCACAAAGAAGATTGGAATGCGGAGAATAGAGTGTAACAGAAAATAGAGATTGCAAGAATAAGGAGATGTTGAATATAATATCGGATGATTGTAGCTCGGGATGCGGATGTTGGTGTGGGTGTTCTCCAAGTTGGAAGTGTTGTCCGCACACTTCGAAGTTACCTGGCCTGGCGACGAAACGTCTGTGAACACCGCTTCCAGTTCGGATAACACACCAAAGCCAAAACTGAGTAGATGCACGAATGTCACTGTTTGCGACCCTCAGCCATATCACTTAGCGTATATAGCCACTGGTTACAATGACCCCAAGGATTTCATCCATGGATCCGAACGCGATCTATATGACCGAATCTTTTGGTCCAGATTACCATACTCTCATGCCAGGTCTCAGTCTGACTACACTTGACTCTTTTCCATTCATTACCTACCATGGTGTTCACAATTTTAGCTTAAGAGTTTATTGTAAACACATACCGATCTATTCAATCGCATTTTATTGGATGCCGGGAGTTTGTGTGCTTGCAGAAACAACTATTGAATGCACACAAAGGTGAATTACGGACCACATGATCCAGAGCACGTCCATGACAGCGAGTAAACCACTGCGCCATCACCAACCATATATAATTTATGTGCTTACTTCCAACCCGAATGCGATTTCGCTTTCACGGTTCCGAAGTTCAATCGCCCCGTTCAATAGAGTCCTCAACTCTCAATTTTCATAACCTAACAGTAGCTATGAAATTGACTCATTCGGCTGCGGAACATACTGTGGTGAACAACACGTAAAAGACGACGCTCCCGGTGACACTCAGATCCCAGCGACATGCTTGCCTCCACAAAAACAGGTGAACAGATAACTACCGAATTGGGAATCATAGATACAAGTTCCGTGCCACATACGAG